TTTTCAAATTTGTAATTCTTAAAGAATAAATAATTTATAAATAATGCGATTGAGTTTGTTAGAACCATATAATGATTTTAGAAATAAGAATACAATTTTAAGAATAAAATATACTTTGCACAAATCTATTTATTATTGATGCCAGTGAACATTTATAATTGAAGAGAATATTTTATACTTAAATGAAAGTAAATAACAATCAAGAAGAAAAATATACGTGAATTAGGAATTCATTTTTTTCTGCGATTGATTTGTCTTCCAGAAGACATCAGATCATTGCTGAGTTGTCTAAGATGTGCTGACTTTGTCACTGCGACGACAAAGAGGCGCCTATACTCGCGGGCGGATTTTCCGTGGCAGATTCGCGGATCTGTTATCCACAGTTAAATAGATGAGATAAGCAATGAATCCGTCGCGGCAAATCCACCTGTATATATCAATCAACATTCTCTACCATTTTGACGAAGTTGACCGTCTGTTTGTGTCCTTATTTGCAATACGGGTAACGGAGGTTGGTAGAACGGTCTCAGTATTTCACTTGCCTTTGAGTTACATTAGTAGAAGGTAATCCAAGTTTGATTCAGTTTTTCCTTGGAAACTTGTACTCCGTGCATATTAAAAGGCATGCTCTATAAACTTCATTTACAAAACTATCGTTTACTGCAGCATTGGTTTCTGTCATTTTGATATTACTAAAAAGCATACTGGGTATTTGAAATAAGTTTATAAAAGATAATCATTGAAGTAAAAATAATGCTAATATAAGCATATATAGTATTGAACGAATGCAACTATATTTTTTTATTGAAATAAAATTGTTTTAAACTAAGAATAAATTTATTTTATTTTACGAATAAAATAAATTTTTATTATTAATCGAAAATTGTTTATTCTTTGCGTTATTCTAAGTGTAAAATATTCTTCTTAAAGCATTTAGGCATTTCTTTAAGAATTCATTTTTTTGTGTGATGTTATACTCCATTATTATCAAACAACATGAACTTATTTTTATCGCTCTAGAAGACATCAGATCATTGTTGAGATGTCTAGTTAAAGTGCTTTGGTCCACTCGCGCCTAATTTTTTACGGAAATGAATGGTTTTTTTACGAATCATTATTCACACATTCTTCCGACCTGCAAGTGATGGCGTATGATCTATACGAATGGATTAGATTGTTTAGAAGTTAATATTTCCTTAGCAATGTCCGGTGTCGTATGGATGGGTTGCTGCGAGATATGCGAAGGCTGTTGCAATCAATGAGAAAAGTAATGTAATGTGATCGGCCACATCTTCTTCTTAACACAGTTTCATTAGATCTCTTAACGCTTAAGAAATTTGGTCTGTTGATTTGGAGATGCTAATTATTGGGTGAACTTCTTATGTCCATCCTTGTTTACTCTTTACGATGACTTTCTGTTTTTATTCTATATCTTGAACACCATAAGTATTGTAAAACATAATGTAAAACATTAAATCTAACTACTAAAAAGTTAACTACTAATTACTAAAGTTAGTAGTAGTAGTCATGACGGTAAAAACTACGGCTGTATGAAAAATAAAGAAAATACAACAACGCGATTTTGGGAAAATTAAAAAATCATAGGATATATTGTTAAACCTCAGAAATATTCGGAAAGTTTACATCTTCTCTCAGAATTTTTTATATAAGTGAATTCTGAAATATTCTGAAATTTCTCATTCTATAATTTTTAGAAAGTATTTTTAAATTTTTTAGATTTTATAATATTTCATCAGAAATTATACTTACAAAAAAATCTTAAAAATCTTACGATATTTCATAATTAACGATATTTCATAATTAATTATTTATTTTCATAAATAAATGAGAAAAAATGTAGATTTTCTGAGGAATGTTCTAATTCGTATAAAAAATGTGAGAAAGTTATAAAATAGACAGAAATTATAGAGAAATTCTGAAAAATCATATAAAAAATTCTAAGAAAAATTTTCCAGAGTATATTTATAGTTCATTCGAACTGCACGCTGAATTGATTTTTTTGAATTTAAACGCAATTAATTTTTTTTTTTGTTATTCTACTGTAATAATATCACGAATTTAATTAAATTAACAAGTAGTGAGACATAGTGAGATCTTTTTTTATCCGACAGATTAAATACAGATGTGCAGATTTTTTGGAAACTGACTTCTTTGATTATTTAGAAGACATCCACCTACAGCAACGGATTGAAATGTGGTTTCAACTCAACAAATGGGTGTCCAGTTCATTATGGCAAAATTATTCGAGCTTGGCTAGACAGACTAGATTTTCCACAATGATGAATTGGACGTGGAGGAATAATATCTTGGTCAACTCAAGAGAATAATTAAAAAATCGAATCGAGGCTGTTGTGGGCCAAATATCGCCAGATCAGTGTTTAGCTGCAACACGAGCTGTCCATATTAGATGTTGCATTGCTGCAAGAAGCCAATATTTTGAATAATATCTATATTAAATAAATGAATAAATACAATGTGAATAAGTAATGAGAAACTATAAAAATGAAAATTACGTTTTTTCTTTTCTGCGATTTTCTCCCAAAATGAAGCAAAAACGAGCATATCTCTACAAGACTTTTCTCTTAATTTATCAATCCCCTATACGCTCCCGAAGTTTTGACATTTAAATTCCAGACATTTTGTATACACATTCTTAAAACATTGTCAATGAATTATCAATGCGATTTTGATTTACTTAATAAAATCCTTTTATTAAACTTATTTAATTTCTTCAAAAACAATTTTTATAATCACATATTGAAAGAAGATTGGCTGAATATGGCTGAATATGGCTGAATATGGCTGAATATTGGCTGAATATATAGTATTTTTATTTGTTTGCATCCAATTTTTGGTTGTATTAGCCATCGAAATCCTATACTGACATTGCGAATAAGCTAACGCAATTAAAAATTAACTGCTGCAACCAAAAAGCTACTACAACCAATTAAAAATGCTGTGCCATATTTTATCATCTAATTTGCTGCAGCAGCCACTTTTCTTTCAGTATATATTATACGAGGATAGTTCGAAAAATTCTCGACCTGATAAAAAAATAATATGAAACTCATAAATATGAAACTGTTATAATTTCAGACAAGTTTGATTCTTCGTAGGGCTACTGTTAAAATTTCAGACAGATGCGTCCATCAATTAATTTCTTTATTTCGGTCATGCAACCAACTTTTGGTTCCAGCATGATAATGCATCCGCTCATATTTCTTCAGTTGCAGTCGCAAAATTTCATTAATTGGTTCCGCAAGCGCTATATTTCATCAGATCACGTAAAATCTGGTGAAATACGGTGCTTGCGGGACCAATTCATGGAATTTGTCTGAAATTTTAACAGTAGCCCTGTGAAGGATCAAACTTGTCTAAAATTATGGCAGTTTGATATTTGTAGCGTCATTTCTGTGTTAGGCTGAGAACTTTTCAAACTACCCTCATTCATATATTACGCATATATTTACGTATATGTATGTACATGAATAATTTGATTATACATGATCCAACTGAAATAGAAAAAGAAATAATAATCTGTCGCTCAAAAAGTTGTTTTATAAATAATAATTTAATAAATAATAATAAGGCTCTGTAAGTATAAACCAATGTAGTCAAAAGAAGGGCAAAGAGCCAGTAATGTAAAGAACTTTAATTTAAATTACTGGCTCTTTGCCTTTCTTTTGACTACATTATTTATAAATATCGTAAGAGTTTAATCCGAATGTGTATGATAAACACATTTTTATGTGTTTTATTGGTAACGTGCTATGTATATTGGTAACGTGCTATATATGTTTCCATGAACAACCTATCGAGTTATCTCGGTACGTGACTATCGGCCGGGATAAATTTCCGAGTATTATCACGATTGATTGATATGTTTCTTTCGCGGAGCACGTGCGCCGGTTCCCACGTCGAAAAGTGCACGTAAATTGCCGCGAGTTATGTAGCAGGCGATAATCCGTGAATCATATACACCTACAATCAATATATCGAGACGATCCACGCAGATCATCCCAGCAGAGAGTAAGAAAGAATTTTCATCAAAGTTTCTTTATTTATTATTAGCTCCTAATGGTCCTAATAAGATAGCTTGCATATGCGAGCGCATGAAATATATTCTACAGGTGTATACGCATATATCACATACCGCATTACCTTTTAAACCTTGCTCCGTTACTGCCATTTTAGCACATTTCAAACTCCCAGATACGAGTTATTGTTGCTCTGGCAAATTGTCGTACGATTTGTATTCCTAGATATGTAAGACATGTGCACTCAAACGGAGATATGTTTTGAAAAGGAAGGAAGAGAACAAGAAAGATAAAGATAGATAAAGAGAGAGAGAGAGAGAGAGAGAGAGAGAGAGAGAGAGAGAGACGAACGTTAAATATTTTTAAGACCTATTTTCGCTCATCAAAACAATGAAAAAATTTATTTATCTTTTCCGAATTATATCGTCTGCACTCTGAAATTTTCTAAAAAAATTAGCAAGCTAGTTATACTGATGATTTATTTACCGCGTCTGAAATTATGCTCCTATTTGAACAGAAAATATCTTAAAATAAGGAATAAAGAAAGGGTGTCAAATATTTCTTCAAATTTCAAATTTTCTTCAAAATGATGAACAAAGTTTATCTGTTCCGAATTATATGCTTTTGCACGTAATTTCGCTAAAAAATTATTCACTCTTCTTTCTTTTTCTTTTAGTAAAGTTTCTGCAAACAAAAGACTCCAAAACATTTAGTATACTTTTTAACATATTATAAAATTAAATAAAAAAATAACATTAGCTGTATAAAGTATAATTACTTTTTATCCCGTTACATAAATTTAACAAAATTGGTTTACGAAAGTTTTTTTTTATTTCAAGAGCTTAAACTATTATTCTGTTCGACAAGATAAAGTTGTGCAAATGATTAAATCACAATCAAAAATGAATTAATTTCTTATCAAAGCAAATCTTTCTGTTTCAGCCCAAGAGGCCTCAAGAATTACCGACGACATAAGTCTGAGTTCTTTAAAATTTTATTCACATCTCATCAAAAACAATAAGATATACTGTAAGAATGACCAGTTCGAATAATCGATTTAGTTGAGCGTATGAAAAGAATTGATAAATTATTATTAATAAACAAGAAATTATTTCATTCGTTCGTTATTATTATGCTACAACCGAATAATCGAAGCGTAAAAAAATGATAAATTTTTTAGAAAGAAATATTTAAATTGTACATTTCTTATGTCGAAAAACAATCTAGCGGAAAAAACTTTTATTTTATTTTTATTTAAATTAAGTCAGCAATCTAAATACTTGATTGCTGTGCACTTTTTATGTAAAAAAATCTAGAAAGAACTTTTATTTTATTTTTATTTATTTAAATCAGCAATTTATATGTACTGCTTCGAAACAAAACAAAAAAATAATTTGAAGGAAATATGAAGGAAAAGAAACTAGTGGGAGTTCTTAAAATCCGTGCTTTTCATCAAGAATAAGCAATTATATTTAAACATTCGAAGAAACATGCGATCGAAAATCGATTATTCCTGGCCGTTTGCAGTGCAACGGTGCGTCAGTGTGGCGGAAAAAACAACGAGAATAACGATAACGAGGACGACGTAGACGTCACGTCGCACGCGCGGCACCCGGCGATACATCGCGGGGGCGACGCTTTAATCGTTCAGAAAGAAAGAAAATCATGCGTTTCCTGACGGCGGCAAGCGCCGATATCATTCTCGCACGCAGCATCACCGAGGATGTATCATTGGACAGCGATGTTGGCTCGCACGGATCCGAGAAGTGCGGCGGCAGCAGCAGCAGCAGCAGCAGCAGCAGCAGCAACAGCAGCAGCAGCAGCAGCAGCAGCAGCAGCAGCAACAACAACGGGAACAGCAACGGATGTAATAACGGAATTCGCGACGGCGTCGGCTACGCCAGCGGCCACGACCGCGGCCAACAGTACAACGACAGCAGCGATAACGGCTACGCTAGTGACGATTTCTGGGAATGTACGTCTTCTATCCAGCAGACGAGCTCCTGCGTATCTATGAAAATCCAATTCGGGAATCCGTGTCATTGACTGTCAACGATACAGCGGTAAATGGTGATTACGAGGAGATAAATCAGCAGTATTATCAGCAGCAGCAGCAATCGCAGTCGCATCAGCAACAGCGAATTATCGTCACGAACGACATCCGCAAGCGCAAGGAGAAAAAGCGAGAGACTAGTCAGACAACAGGAAACAGGAGGCAAATCGTGCATAACGGCGACGGCGACGGTGACGCCGGCAAGAAAGAAGGACGACGAAACGAGGAACAGCATACCAGGACTATGCAAAGTAATCGTGCCTCCGGCTCCGAAGAAGCCGCCAACCATCCTCTTAAAGACCTCACGCAGCCGAGTCTCAATGAGCCGCTGAAGCAGCATAATGGCGTTGCGCTCAAGCTCGTCCAGACGGGTAAGTGTGCTACTGCGATTCTGCACGTGGTCCAGCGAAATTATTTGCACACTAATTTTATTATTAAATATTTATCGATACTATATCTCTTTTAAAATGTAGTTTAAAAACTCGTTGACTAAAATATTAATTAAAATCTTGACTGAAATTTCTCTCAATAAATTTTTATACAAACGGATAATTTCTTCTTTTCAAATATTTTTCAACAGTTTCATTTTTCTTTTTATTAAAAAT